GTCGTTTTTAAGAATGATCCTTTTTATACTTTCTTCAAAACTTAGCATTACCTTAGAAAAGAGGTTGGCTTGTGTACTTCGAAAAACTCTCCGAGATCAATATACACCATTCCCTTTTTCCCCCTTACCCTATCCCTCCTGTAGGCTGTCAAAAAAACTGTAGTCCTGGCTGAAATGCGCAGGAAAGAGGCAGTAAACACTGTAATCTGAAAAGTTAATTGGAAAGTAAGAGGTGCAGCCTTGGGTCAGAGGCCCCTCTGACTGGGAACCCTGTCACGTGGAACCCTGGCTGGACCAGTTGACATTCAGTGTCTCTTGATTTAAACCTCATCGTTGGAATGTGCCTGTTGGCTCTGGTGGCAGGTCACAGCATTCCTAACCTAGTGGCATTGCTCAGAACAAGGCGGCACCACCAGGCGTTGGTGAGTGAAAGCCCACATCATGTCTCATGAGCTGCAGTCACAACCCCAGGCCGGGGACCAGCCGGTGATGGTGCTTCCTGCCCTGGACCACATCCACGAGGGCAGCAGGGCACAGACAACTGGGGTGAATCCCACCCTGCCCCTTGCTTATTGCCACGTGACCTTGGCCAGGCTGCTTCAATCCTTCAGTCACACTGCTCCATTTATAAAATAGGAATAAGATAGCGCTTTCTATCTCACAGGGTTGTTGTGAGGATTAAATGAGATTAAGACTATTAAGCAGTCACACGATATTCAATAAGTGGTAACTTTTATTGTTATTATTAGTAATAATAAGGAGCCTGTCACCAGCCCTCTTACCTAGTATGAGCTGCTTCTTGTGGCTTGGTGTGAATCTAAGTGCATACTATACTCATTTCATTTAAAATCATAGTCTTTTTTTGGTGTGTGCCGGCTGAGTGGCATGTTGGTTAAGAGCCGGCTTGGGACGCCAGAGGGCCCCGGTTCGGATCCCACATATGAGGGCCAGTGACGCTGCCCTCCACAGCTAAGATGCTGAACAACAGCTCAACCTGGAGCTGGGCTGCTGTGAGTCCCCAGCAAAGGCATAGGCTGCAGCCCCTGCGGCAGTGGGTTGTCATGGGCTACTGTATGTAGCCAGCAGCCAGCGTGATCAGTCCAGAAGCCAGCAACTGATCTGCCTCACCCAGGAGGAGCACAATGATGGTGCCAACTTGGACCGGTGAAGCAGCGTCCTCCACAACTAGACTGAAGAACAAAGGGACAGCAACTTGTCTGTTCCCCTTCCCCCAATTCCCCAGTGCTGTTCCCATCCCCCAATTCCCCAATAAAAATCTTTTAAAAATAAATAAATAAATAAAATCATAGTCTTTTTTAGGTCCAAATAATGTATAGACTTCCTTGTAAAAGAAAAAAAAAAAAAGAAACTTTAGTGTTGACAGGTTATTCTGATGTGTTTAAATTTGTGTAATCATATTCAACTTCTTATGCTTATTATTCTTTCCCAACTCTGAAAGCAAAACAAATGAACAAGATATAAACATAGGTGTAAAATAAACAAAAGGGAAACTGACTATATTCATTTTGGCTTATTGAAGCAGCATCACGAACATGGCATGGAGCTGGTGGTCACCGATTCTTGCTGCAGTTCCCTTTGTTATTTTTGCACTTAGACCTCCCACCGCATTTCTCTATATGAAGCAGTGTGCGAGGAAACCTTCTTGTGTTCACTTGGCACAAGTGCCTCATCTACATATTGTCCTGCCCCCCTGTTCTTTCCTCCTGGGCCCCTGACATTCAGGGTAGCATGACCTAGCTGCAAAATGATTGCAAATGTTTACATCACATCACATCACACAATCCTATGGTGGGACTCAGTTATTACATGGTCATCCAGATAATCTGGGATGTCTTTGCATTTAGATACCATTTTAAAGGCATTATTATCTAGATGAAAAGCCCAAGCACAGATCTCATAAGGACTATATCTGAGGACTTTTGGTAGGCACCAGTTTGAGAAACGTTAATTCACATTCTGCCTAGACCCCCAAAGTATTTGAAGCAGCCTCCAAAATTAAGCACAGTATAAACAAGAGAAACTGGCAAGACCAAGGACCTGGATGAGAGTATAACAGCAATTAAGAACCAGAATTGTCACTGAGATACCTAGCAGCAAGGGCAAAAGGTGAAACACACCACGCAAGCTTGTTTTTATTGTCGAATAAGAGAAAATAGGCAAGTTCTCTGAAGAGACAAACTTTTCCTGTCATTGATTTTAAGGAGTATTTGCCATGAGACTTTGGGGAGCCAGATGCACAAAGAAAGTCTTTTTCTATCATTTCTCCAGAGTTTCTCTAGACTTCAGAACAGCCGAGAGGATATTATTAAATTTTAAAACAGTGAGGATACTATTGGTGTCTTAATAATACTTGACATCAGGGAGGGTCCTAAGGGTTTTCAGAGTGCCTTTGCTCAAACATTTGTTATGTGAGTCTCAGAACAACAAAGATGGAATTATCTTCAAGGTGCAGAAGGGTCGATAGTGATCTGCATATTTCAGTGGGAAAGTTTGGGGCCATCTCACTCTGTCAGGTGAGTTTCAGTGGTGCTGATGTCTGGGTTGGCATTTCCTTCACGGAAACGTTGGCTCTGCCGAAGTGGATGGCCCGTGGCCCAGTCTGTAGCACTCTGTGGAAAAGGCCAATGTTGCCGGAAGAAACTTGGGCGGTGCTTTTTATTGTCAGTCAGTGCCACCAGATTCACCCTGCAGAATGAGTGGCACCCTGCCTGGCTCCTTGAAATGAATTAGCTGCTGGTAGCTATCTAAAGTGACTTAAGGGATAGATCTACTGGAAGGGGTTGTTTACACAACCCCTCTGAACGCTGGGGGAGGATCTGCAAAGTGCAGTACTATTAGGATCAATCTCACTTATTTCAAGCTGGTGAAATGGTTAATCAAAATTCAGTTGCTGCCTTTCTCCTCCAGGAAGAGCCTCCAAAATGAAAAAAAAAAAAAAAAGATGTCCAGGCATCTAATAAACAAATTGAAGCTTGATGTGATAGCATGTAATTAAGAAGACTATTAATTATCCCTGTTCTTTTTTGGCTATTTCCTTCACAGGCTCTGTGGTGGGTGGGAGTTGCTTGGGTGGTGTGTACAGCTCTGTCCATGAGGATGGTCCCTGGCCATTTTAGAAGTGAATGATAAAGGAGAGAAGGATGTGGGGAAAGGCAGAGCCAGCAGAGAAAATGGCAGCCTTTAATTAATTTGGCTTGAATAGCAGGGAGGTGGGGAGACTACTGCAGTTAGCCTTTGAAGGAGGATATTAACACTGAGTGAGAGAGGAGGCAGTAGGATAGGAAAGGGAAGGGGAGGGGAGGGCAATGGAGGGGAGAGGACGGAAGGGAAGGGAAGGGAAGGGAAGGGAAGCTATAGGAGATTGATGGCTCTGATGCCTAGTGAAAAACAATATCACCCTCCTTGGAACTCCCAGGGTCCTTTGCCCCATCTCTTAGCACTGAATTCTGCCTGGATTCCTGTTGCACAACCAAGATCAGAGACTTGGATGCACTGAGCCAGGCCTTCTGGAATAGCATGTCTTGAGAAAAATCATGGAGAGGGGAGGGGCCGCAAGAGTGCGTGCCTCACTGTCCATCACATTCTGGGGTCGTGCATAGTCATCTGCTAGCACATATGTCAGGCTCTAGGACAGGACCTCTGCCAAGGTTGTGGGGCTGTGGAGCTGTGTATCTGGAAGCCTCAGTCCCTCACCTGGCCTGAGTGGGTCCTGGAGGTCCTTGCCTACGACCTTGTTCTGATCCCCCACCTCAGCTTTCATGATTGTGGGAGCACAGCCTCTCCCCTAGCATGAAGCGGGGTCTAGGGTACAAGCCTGTGGTTACAGTTTTCTTTGGTGCACATATCAGCGGCCTGATCCACCAGCCACCCCATCATTCTACCAGGACTGATTGTCACAAGCTGTGCAGGCGGCCAACTCCTTCCCCAGGAGGCTAACCTCCAAGAATCAGGCAAGGTAACCCTTACCTTTCACCCACCCAGCCACTGTTTTAGATTGTGGGCTCTCTGAAGGCAGGATTGGTGTCTGATTTATTCTTGTGTCCTCTCAGTAACTAACATATTTGGCTAGCTCTGTAAGTGGCTTACAAAGGCAGAAAAGCAAGCCCAAGAAAGGGACGATGACCCTTCCCTCTGCTCTTAACCATTTGTCTCTCTTTGAGGATCTGATGAAAACTTTGTACTATCTCCAGAAAACTATAGGCAAACACACACACACAAGCACACACAGAATCTTGCACACAAGTAGCCTATCAATGGACAGATCCTGGCTAACAGCCCCTGTCTCAGAGTTCTGGTAGGTTCCACTTACACCATCTCAGCATCATCTCATTCTGTGCCATGCCCCACACATTTGCACACCCCTGCTCACCTGCTCTGAATCTCGCATGTTCTAATCTTTCCACAGTAGAGGTGTTCGCTGTGGGACTGATCTGGAACCCAGTTCCACTGGTCTAAGATTTGTTGAAAAGGATTGATTTTTACTATTGCTCTGGTGAGAGAATACATTGGTTATCCATGACCCTGAGGAATCGTGGCTTCCTGGACAACACAGGTTTTACTTGGTGTTCAAAAGATGACCTACAAGTGCACTGCCCGTTCTGGACCCCACTTGAGGAGACCCCTCCTTTCCCCTCAACCACCAAAGCCAGCCCTGCAAGAAATCTGGATTGAAAGCTTGTGGAAGCCTCTTGATTGAGGGTAGTCTTGCCAGCCTCAGACAGCAGCCTGCCTCGGACTTGTGGGTTTTTCTTTCCACTATCATCCTCTTGCTGCCACCCTACCCAGTGGCCTACGTGGTGGTTTACTTTTCCCCATTAGATCCTCTTTCATGATTTCCTGAGTCACTCCCTGCAGCCTGTATTTGTTTAACGTTCAGAGCCGTTTCCTATTTGGTAATGCCTGGGGCTTTCATGGTGTGGGACATACCCATCGGTTCTCCTTCCTTCTGTTCCCATTCAGCAGTGTTCTCTGTTCCATAGATTCTGGCTGTGACTCAGTCACTGACACCGAGACTGAGGACGAAAAGGTCCTTCCCTACTTGAAGAAGCAGAGCCTGCCGACGTCGCTGGAGACTTCGCCTGGGAACCTCATGGTGGTGCAGCCAGACCGCATTCGCTGTGGGGTAGGCACTTCTGGGGCTGGTGGATTGATGTCAGAACACAGGCTTTTCAGTGGATGCATTTGTTGGAGTAAAGGGAGCAGGGTTCTCTTGTTGCACCTCAGTGTAATTCCAGACCTCTGGCGGGGCTTCCCCTGTACACTAGCTGCCCTGGGAACCCCAGTACCTGGGCCTTAGGCACACCTCAGTCCATTAAGTCAAAGAGAGACGAACCCAGGAATGTATGTATGTGTCATCAATCTAAGACTTTTGGTTTATGGATCCAAAACTTAGGACCTGTGGGGAGACCAGCAGACATGAGCATCACTAGACACTTACGCCACCCCGGGAGTCAGAGGTCTGGCTTTGTTCCTGCCATCCTGGTGCTGGGAGGATGGAGATGTAGAACATTTTGAGAGCTTGCTTCTCAGTCAACTGGCCACTGGCATGGCCCAAATGAGTGCTTCGGAGATTCATGGCTGAAACTTGCTGGCCCATATTGCTTGCTAAAAGGATAGGATCAATGCCTAAGCATAATGTGACTAACATTTTTAGGATGATTTGAGTGTGATGGCCAACTGATGGGCCACTGTCATTTGAATCCTACCATAGTATTGGTAGTTTTTCATGATCTCTCCTTTCCTAGCAAACAATGTGTGATATTAGTTCAGAGCCGCAAAATGCTTCCCCATTTCTACAAGCCCTTTGCTAAGTTTGCTGCTGTGGGCTCCTAAGACAAGAGGGCAGGACAGCTGTGGCAATAGGAAGTACTAGCTTCCTTGCTCTTGTGACTTGATTTTCCGGGCAGCCTGGGCCTATGAGGCGTTAGTTAAGGACTTCTTACATGAGGGTTGCAAACTGCTGCTTTGCGCTGGATTGAACTCATAGACATGTTGGTTTTGGACTGCACAGTGTTTTAAAAGTTAGGCATGAAAATCTGTGTTTCCAGTTTTCTTTAAGTGGAACGTGCTGATACCAGGCCTTAGATGACTTAGGCTGGGTTGAGCAGCCCTTTAGATGGGGCATGCATCTCCCAGTTCACTTCATATGCCTTCCTGCCTTCCCCATGCCCCTCTCATCCTGAGATCAGGTTGGTGGGTGCCTGTGGGTAGGAACTGAAGAACAATGCCTAACATCCCTCCCTGATTCTCCAGGCTTTCGTTCCTTCTCCCATCCTGGCTCCTACTAACCCAGAGTTCTCCCTGTTGCCTACTCTAGGTCTCTGGGCCCTGGGGTAGCTGGACTGGGGTTGGTCCTAACTGTCAACAGGGGAGACACACTCATTCTATCTGGCTCCCCATGCTCCCTGGGAGAAGGAGCAGGTGGGACAGAGCTGGGCCTGTAGCAGGAGTCAGGTCCACCACAAACACATTCACATTCAGCCTCAGCAGCTCCCAGGAGCCAGGACCATGCACCTCCCTTACCTGTTGTGAAATCACAGCCCTTGTAATGAGGGGCACTGTGAGGACTTTATAGAAGAACCTTAGAATGAACAGTTGGGGAGTTAGAATGAACTTAGAATGAATGTTATGGCCAGAAATCTTTCTTTTTCCCCCTTTTTTTTTTAATTTTGTGGGGAGGAGGGGGGCCTATCCCTACCCGTTCAATGTCTTGAGAGGACAAGATAATTTCATTTGGCAGACTTGGAAAGAAATCTTAAACCAAGGGAAAATAGCTATTCAGGTTGCTCAGTAACTTGGGAAAATTAATCATCCAGTAAGTTATTTTTGTCCATCCATGAACAGCATTAAATTGTAGAGCAAGAGGGCTTCTCTAGGCTGGTGCCTCTTACATTGCAAGGTGCGTATGAGTCACTCAGGGATCTTGGGAAAAGTGCAGACTCTGGTTCCTTGGGCCCAAGAAGGGCCTGAGCATCTGCGTTTCTAACAAGCTTCTAGGGAAGCCAATGCTGCTGGTCCCTTGTCCTCACTTTGGGTAGCAGGGCTAATCCAGAACCATGCTTCTCCAACTATCTGTGGTGAAAAACTACTTCTCCAACTATCTGGGTAAAAAAACCCTATTTTTTATTTTGTTTTTAAGTTTCTAATTCTGCCATGGACCAATGCTTTTATAAAATCCAAAAAAATAAAAAATAAAAAAGGGAAAGCAAGAAATGCTATAAAAATAAAATAATATGACATAAAATACAAGCCCCAGGTTTTAAAATTGTTACTATTAGGTTCAACATACATAAGATTATGCCATCGAATTGCTATAGAGGTTTATAAATGTTCACTCTTGGTTTTTGTAACTCATTTCATTGGGACCCATGACCCAGCCCTGGACTACAGACCCACCCTGTTCTGGGACAGCCCCCCTAGATAGGACTGGGGCTACGGGAGCTGGGAGACCCTCTGACTCAGCACCCTAATGGGGGACCAGGAAGGAGAGGGGATGATGACTGGCCTCCCGTTCCAGGCAGAAACCACTATCTACATCATTCTGAGATGTAAATTGGATGAGAGAGTAACGACGGAAGCCGAATTTTTTCCTGAGGACTCTCCCTCGATAAGGGTGGAAGCCAAGCTGGAGAATGAGTACACCGTTTCCATGAAGGCTCCCAGTAAGTAGCCCCATCTCCCTCCAGAAATTAGGTATCATGTTGAGGCGGAGGCGCCCTCTTGCTTTCTTTTCCTCGTCCTATTGTTATTCAGCAACTGAGCAGAGTGACAGCCAAAATTTGGATTTGGTTGTCATGTTCTATTTAAAGGAAAAGGAAATGTCAGAAACATACATGTGGCACGGGGTGGGGTGGGGGGAATGGATATATTAACATTTTTATCATGATAAAGTTAATATATTAAAACTTTTTTGAAATTAGAGAAAAGTAAGAAAAAAGCCATCAGACTACCCTTCAGTCTTTTTTGGTTTGTACACAATTTTTAGAAATATCATTGTTTTAATAGTATCTATTACCTGATATTCTGCTTTTCTTTTTTTTAAA